TTTTTTTTAGTTTAAATTAGGAACAAGCTTGCTTCACATGTCAATCCTTTCTCCCTCACTCCCCCAACCCTCCACCCCAACCCCCAACCTGCCCCCCACCCCATCCACCTGTCCACTCCCCAGGCAGGGTAGGGCCCTCCACCGGGCTCCCCAAAGACCACCACATCATCCTAGGTGGGGCCTAGGTCCTCCCCCATGTGTCCATGCCAAGAGTGCATCCCCCATGTGTCCATGCCAAGAGTGCATCCTCCATGTGTCTATGCCAAGAGTGCATCACTTCACGTGGCATGGGTTCTCAAAGTCCCTTCTTACACCAGGGAAAAACAATGCTGCTATGAACATGGTTGAACATATGTCCTTATTGTATGAATGTGCATTATTTGGGTATATGCCCAAGAGAGGAATTGCTGGATCTTGAGGTAGACTGATTCCCATTTTTCTGAGCAATGGCCATACTGATTTCCAAAGTGTTCTTAAAGTTTGCACTCCCACTGGCAATGGAGGAGTGTTCCTTTTTCTCCACATCCTCTCCATCATAGATTGTCATTAGTGTTTTTGATTTTAGCCATTCCGGCCAGTGTAAGATGGTATCTCAGAGTTGTTTTGAGTTGCATTTCTCTGATGGCCAAGGATTTTGAGCACTTTCTTATGTGTCTTTCAGCCATTTCAGATTCCTCTGTTGAGAATTCTCTATTTAGTTCTGCACCCCACTTTTTAATTTCATTGTTTGGTGTTTTGGTGGCTAGCTTCTTGTGTTCTTGTATATTTTGGAAATCAGCCCTCTGTCATATGTGCAGTTGGTGAAGATCTTTTCCCATTCTGTGGGCTGGCGTTTTGTCTTACTGTGTCCTTTGCCTTACAGAAGCTTCTCAGTTTCAGGAGGTCCCATTTATTCATTGCACATCTCATTGTCTATGCTACTGGTGTTATGTTCAGGAAGCAATTTCCTGTGCCAATTCGTTCAAGGGTATCTCCCACTTTCTCTTATAGAAGATTCAGTGTGGCTGGATTTATGTTGAGATCTTTGATCCATTTGCACTTGAGTTTTGTGCGTATCTAGAAGACTCAGTGTGGCTGGATTTATGGAGAGATTTTTGATCCATTTGCACTTAAGTTTCCTGCATGGTGACAGGTACCATTGTATAGATTTAGCACCTTTGTAAAAATAAGGTGTTCGTAGGTGTGCGGGTTAATATCAGGGTTTTCAATTGGATTCCATTGGTCTATTTCTCTATTTTTGTGCCAATACCAAGCTGTTTTCAGGACTATAGTGAAGAACTGTGCTGGGATTTTGATGAGGATTGCATTGAATCTGTACATTACTTTTGGCAAGATTGCCATTTTTACTATGTTGATTCTACCTATCCAAGAGCATGGGAGATCTTTCCACTTTCTGGTATCTTCTTTAATTTCTTTCTTCAAAGACTCAAAGTTCTTACTGTATAGGTCTTTCACTTTTTTGGTTAGTGTTACCCCAAGATATTTTATGTTGCTTGTGGATATTGTGAAGGGTGACGTTTCTCTGATTTCTTTCTCATTACTTTTATCATCTGTATATAGTAGGGCTACTAATTTTTTTTGAGTTAATTTTTTATCCAGCTACTTTGCTGAAGGTGTTTATCAGCTGTTGGAGTTCCCTGGTAGAGTTTTTCGGGTCACTTATGTAGATGATCATATCATCTGCAAATAGTTGAAGTTTGACTTCCTCCTTTCAAATTTGTATAACTTTGATCTACTTTTGTTGTCTTACTGCTCTAGCTAAAACTTCAAGTACAATATTGAAGAGATATGGAGAGAGTGGACAGCCTTGTCTTGTTCCTGATTTTAGAGAAATCACTTTCAATTTCTCTCCATTTAGTTTGATGTTGGCTGTTGGTTTGGTGTATGTTGCTTTTATCATGTTTAGATATGTTCTTGTTATTCCGGTTCTCTCCAAGATCTGTATCATAAAGGGATATTGGATTTTGTCAAAGGCTTTTAGAGTTTTTCGGGTCACTTATGTAGATGATCATATCATCTGCAAATAGTTGGGATTACACTGATGGATTTTCATATGTTGAACCATCCTTGCATCCCTGGGATGAAGCCTACTTGATCGTGGTGAATGATTTCTCTGATGTGTTCTTGGATTCGATTTGCCAGTATTTTATTGAGAATTTTTGCATCGACGTTCATGAGGGATATTGGTCTGTAGTTCTTTTTCTTAGTTGTGTCTTTGTGTGGCTTGGGTATCAAAGTGATTGTAGCCTCATAAAAAGAGTTTGGCAATGTCCCTTCTGCTTCTATTGTGTGGAACAATTTGAGGAGTACTGGTATTAGCTCTTGTTTGAATTTCTGGTAGAATTCTGCAGTGAAGCCATCTGGCTCTGTGCTTTTTTGGGTTGGGAGGCTTTTGATGACTGCTTCTATTTCATTAGGGGTTATAGGTTGATTTAAACTGCTTGTCTGTTCTTGGTTTAATTTTGGTGAGTGATATCTATCCAGAAAATTGTCCATTTCCTTTAGATTTTCAAATTGTGGAGTACAGGTTTTCAAAGTATGACTTGATGGTTCTCTGGATTTCCTCAGTGTCTGTTGTTATATCCCCCTTTTCGTTTCTAATTTTGTTAATTAGCGTGCTCTCTCTGCAGAGAGTGGTCCTGCCTGCATAGAGTGGACCGGCCCACACAGGAAGGACCTCCTTGAGTCTGGAAATACCTCACTCTCCTTTCCCCATTTGCTGCCCTAAACTCTCCTGAGTGAGGAGACTACCAGGAGAGGCAAGACCATCCGTATCTGCAGACATTGAAGTCTTGGCCCCCACACACCACCGGGTGACAAGCAGAGATAGAGAGACTCCACCTGCACCCACTGGAAGAAGATATGGGAAGAAGGCAGAATAAGAACACACTCAACAGAAAGACCAATATGTCATCACCAGAATCTAGGGATTCCACACCATCAAGATCTGAAATGCACAACACAGAGGAAGAAGAGATAGACCTAAAAATCTACTTCATGAAGATGTTCGAGACCCTTAAAGAGGAAACAAGAAAATCTCTTAAATAAATAGAAGAAAAAACAAATAAAAAATTCAAGAAATAATTAATTCTCTTAAAAAATCTAAAGAAAAAACAACCAAACAAGTGAAGGAAGCACTGGAAACAGTTCAAGGCATGAAAGCTGAAATAGAAACAATAAAGAAAACACAGAATGAGGGGATGCTGGAAATACAAAGGCTGGATAAATGATCAGGATCTAAGCATGAGTACAACCAATAGAGTACAAGAGATGGAAGAGAGAATTTCAGTTGTTGAAGACTCACTAGAAGATATACAGTCATTGACCAAGGAAAATCTCAAGTCCAACTAATCTTTAACACAAAATATCCAGGAAATATGGAACACCGTGAAAAGGCAGAATCTAAGAATAATAGGTATAGAAGAAGGTGAAGAAATACAGCTCAAAGATACAGAAAACATATTCAACAGAATCATAGAAGAAAACTTCCCCAACCTACAGAAGGATATGCCTATGAAAGTACAAGAAGCTTACTGAACACCAAATAGACTGGGCCACAAAAAGAACCCCCCTTGCCACATAATAATCAAAACACCAAACTTACAGAATAAAGAGAAAGTATTAAGAGCAGCAAAGGAAAAAGGTCAAGTAACATATAAAGGTAGACTCAAGGCGGTCCTTCCTGTCTGGGAGGGTCCACTCTATGAAGGTGGGACCACTCTCTGCAGCCTCAGGCCCAGAGAGATCCTGGGGTGAAGGGGACCTTGGGCAGGAGTAGGACTCAGGAGAGGTCAGGGAGGCCTGAATAAACCAATTTAAGGGCTTTCCCTGGGGAAGACTATTTCTCCTGATCTCAATATTCTTTTAGTTACCTGTGGTCTAGAGTTAAGACCTTGTGAGCTTTCTTTGTCTAGGGTTGAGGCACAATGAGATGTCCCCCTCTGTGTCAGCATATCTGTTAGTGTCATCCTTGTTCAGATCCAGTGTTCTATCTGTTTGATTGTTTCTGTATGTATATTTTTTTACATTTATCTTTGTTTAGTTTTCCTTGGATTCTTGTATTTGTATCTTCTCTGCCATTTGGCACTTTGTGATTGCTTTATTTCATTTAGTATAAAATATTCTTTAAGATCCATCCATTGACAAGTATCTGAAGTTCCTTCCTGAGCAACCATTCTTACCAACCTCATGGGGCTGCACAATCACACTTATTACCCTGAGTTACACTGCCAGGGCATGGGGGAGATGGTGAGCTATAGTTTCAAAAGTCAGAGCTTAGATTCTTTAAGATGAAAATGTTATGAATGGTGGTGTTGGCTGTAGGACAATGTGATTGATACCCCTAAACCAAGTACTACAAAAAAACAATTATACTTGTCAATTTATGCTATATATGTTTTTTCACAATTTAAAATGTGATGAATAGTCCTCAGTGTCCCCATAGTAGCAGTTAACCTCAAGGGCAGGGAAAGTCCTTGTAAGGTAAGTAATACCATTTTCTGACTTACAGATGATAAGTAGTCATGGGTTAATTATTTTGCTCAGAATTGTATGTATGAAGCATGTTGAAGATTTCTGGTCTGAACTCTGATCTAGGTTCATAGTTACTATGCTATACTATCTGTGGCTATGAGGAAAAGGGCATGCTGTGAACTGACCAGATGTTTGGTACAGATTATTGTATGAGAAGGCACTAAACAATCAGGTGTTCAACATTGTAGTTTGTGAGACATGCAGAAGCTTCCCAAATAGTGTTATTCTACACTTATGTTTTATATCTTCTTTGTGAAAATGGATTTACAGTTTGCTTACATTTATATTGCTATTCTCCAATGTTTCAATGAATCGATACACAGGTACAGAAGAACAGACAAGTACCCATTTCAAGGTTTGTTTTTTTGTTTATGTAGTTGTCTTTCCATTGATAAGTGGAGGTGTGGAACAATAAAGCAATAAACCTTTTTCTTGATGCCATTTAATATTTTGGCAGGTGACCTTAATTGTGTTACATCTTTGCTTCTTAAGCATTGAAATCTCACCCTTTCTCGTAAAATGGATTCATTGCGCATGAAGCAATTTTCAATCCTCCTGTGGAAAAATTTCCTTTTGAAGGTAAGTGAGGTATCTGTGGGAGCTAGATGGAAAGTCTGTGGAGCCAGAGGAGGAACTGACATCTTCCTTACCACATTCGATGATAGTTCATTTTCTTGCTTTTGTTCCAAGACTGGAGCTAGTTAGCACTGCTTAGTCTGAAGAACACCCTAAGAATCAACAGGATCAGTAGAATAGAAAAACTATATAGAAAAGACTGAGGAAGACAGTTGGGGGAGCCAATGTCATTGTAGATCGAAGCAGAATAATGTATGTCTATGTTGTGTGTCCATGCCCACACATAGGAGCACACACATGTACATGCTCATGTATTCACTAACACAGTCCTCCTGTTTTATTTTTGCAGAGGCGGAATGTGATTGGCTTAGTGGTGGAGATCCTCTTGATATTTCTGTTGTTTACATGGACTTTGACTATCCGCAGAATTACAAAGAAGACATTTTCTCAAGCTACAACTTTTTATCCTATTCCCCTAACATTACCCAAGTTCATTAATAAAAAGTTTGAATATGAATTGGCTTATGTGCCTTCTGAGAGTCATGCGGCAAGAAATATTACTGAGATGGTGAAAAAGGACTTAAATTTCAACTTTAAAGGTTAGAAATTAAAATACTTGAAGTACCTCTCTGGAAATGTTTTAGTATGATTCAGTAACCTTCATAATTCATTAATCAGTCACCCAAATAGTTTGTTCAAATGTCTTCATGACATAATCACTATTGAAATATAATATTTGAAATCAGATGACTGAATTTCTAGATCTAGAATTATAACTATTCTTTGTTTATGATTGTGCTATGAAAAACTTGTGTATGTGTGTGTGTGTGTGTGTGTGTGTGTGTGTGTGTGTATGTTGTGTGTGGCATGTGTGGAGGTCTGAGAATATTTTGCAGGCACTGGTTTTCTCCTTTTACAGCTGCTGTCACCAGGCTTGGCACCAAGTTCCTTTACCCAATGAGTCATCTCACTAGCCCTGTGATTATGCATTCTGATCTTAAAGTACATGATTTTGTGTCAAGTATTAAGATAAAGCAGATACTTTTTTGGTGCACAGATTTTGTTCACATCACTAATTTTATGAAAATATTTAAGAATGATATATGAGTGCATCTGAAAAGAAGAATAGTGCAGAATCATAGCAGAAAAGACAACTCTTTACCAAAAATATTTCTGCATATTAAATTTTTCTTCTCTGACACTAAAAATTTGACATCTTTGCCTCCTTCTTGTCATGTAACTTATGTAACTATGTGGATTTATTTTCACACATACTTTTAAAGCTATGAGCTATACAGAGTAGTGATGGCAAGACAGTGGACTATAACTCCTCTATCTATATTAAATATAGTAATAATTTTGCATCCACCTGTGGATACAAGTGCCATCCAATTAGGGGCTTGTGAGTCCAAGACTTGGAAGAGCCACCTTGAGGGGACAATGCCCAGCTGGCAGACTTACCTACTCTACTGTGTTTCTGTCTTCAGAACTAGAAATTTCCCATATCCTCATGGACTTGGTTATGTCCCCATCTGATAATCTTACTATCAGAACTGTTCCCTGGGGATTTGGGATGAAGAGTGTGCACTGTCTCCAGTGATAGAACTCCTAACCTTAACTCTGACCACAGGCCAAAATTGTTCCCGACACTCAGTTCTAGGTGCTCTCAGAAGAGATTAGAAGCCACCTCTGTGGACAGGGTAAGGACATGGCTCATAGACCTAGATAGAGGGATTCTTATGGGAGTCACCCCAACCACCATGGTGGGGGCATGGTTTGACTGTAGACTGAAAAGTCCAGGGCCTCCGTTTGGCTCATCACAGCTGTCAACTGAGAACAGTCTTATATATAGACTCCCTGATATTTGAATCCCTGAGGTAAACTTGCCCTATAGTTACACCAGACTCTGAAATGGATGTAAGGTTCAGGTAGTTTGCCTTTGCAGTAGACTGAGATCAGCCCTGTTGGCACAAAGGAACACACAGGGAAAAGGTGCCAGTGGGGGGTCTGCTGACCACATTCTTTGCTATGGAATCTGAAGCAGCCCTGCAACTAGGTTTCAGGGCCCCTCACCCATGGGTCAGGGAAGTCCAGAGCCTTCCCAGAGAAGTGGATGAATGAAGCCTGGATTTGTCTGAATGCCTAATAACAGGAACATTTCCCACACAGGGCTTTGAGCTTCTTTGTGGAAATTGATGAACCAATTCTGAAATTCATGTAAAAATGTGACTCATTGTAAGCCAAAATAATATCGAGAACTTAATTGCTAAGCCATCTCTCCAGCAGCTGGATAAAATTAAATATTTTACAGCTATAGATATCATTTTTTCAGCTCCTGAAATTCTCTATCAACCCCATATATACCCCTGCCTCTCTCTCTCTCTCTCTCTCTCTCTCTCTCTCTCTCTTTTGGTATAAAAGTAGATGTATATATCAGTGTTCTAGAATTGAGATTCTAGAAATAAACAGATACTGGCATAGTAAATTGATGTTTTGATATTATTTCAAAATGAAACCATAGAGAAGAATAGTCTTGAGCTATTTGGAAACAATGTTCCACATACAGGGGAATATTGTTGACTTGTTACTCATTTGCTTGAATCTTATGTAAAAATAATTTAAATTGGTCCAACAACCTAAAATGAGAGCCAAAACTATAAAGACTTTAGAAGAAATAAAGACTTGTCTTCATGATTTTGGATTTGGAAAAGGATTTTTAGGTATGACCAAAAAAGGAAAAATCATGAAAATGCAATACAAATGAAAACAAAAATACTTTGTTTTCAACAAAATTGGAAATATTTTCTAAAAGAAACTATTAAGAAAATGAAAGGCAGCCTAAAGGTCGAGACAAAATATTTGCAGGCCATCTATATGAAGTGGGCTTGTAACAGAATTATAAAGCATTCTTAATGACTTAACTATACAAAGACAAATGTTCCATTTATAAAATAACAGAAGGTCTGAGTAGACATTTTGCTCAAGACTGAAGATGAGATCCAAATGACAAAGGAGTACATGGGAGGATGTTCAGCATTGTTCATCAGGGAAATGTAATGGAAGATACAATGAGATGCTGTTCAGAACTGTAACAAAAAGATAATAGCGAGGTTGATTAGTATGGAGCAACTGGGACCTTGCCACACTAGTGGGAAGGAAAATGTGGCTCTACTTTGAGAAACAGTGGCAGCTTCTCAGTAAACAGTTACCATGTGTGTCACCAGGGTACACCTGAGGGGCAGCTCACTGGATTCTAATAAAAGGCAGTCACAGAGGAAAGCAGCAGTCACTAAGAGTTTAAGCAAAGGGTGTAAGTATTTATATAGAAAACAAAATTACAACGAATATTTTAAAATGTTGATACAATTTTACAAAACTCTAGCTGTTTTGAGGAGAGTATGTGGTGGGATCCTCTTGGACTTGATTTGCTTTCCTCTGGTTAATGTCTTGTAGTTGCTGCCTCTGGAAGTCATATTCAGGACTTTCTTGATAGGCCAGCACCCCACAGCTGAGCAGAACCCCAATCTACTCTGACTGAACTCACCTTCCATGTGATTATTGGCTATTTGGGTTCTTGTTTGCTAAAGCAAGTTTGTTGACATATTTTGTCCATTTTCTGTTGTGTTGTCTTGTTCTCCTTTTCACTTACAGTTGTTACAGATGCATTTGTTGGTTATACGCATTAAGTATCCACTTTGGATTCAGTCTGTGACGTGACTGTTCACCGAATGGTATCTTGAAGAATAGTGATTTTTAAATGTCATTATGCCATATTTGTTGATTTTTAAAAAAAATTTTGTTGCTCTGTCAATGCAATCTCTAGTCAATGGTCCCTTCCCCGTGTGTGTGTGTGTGTGTGTGTGTGTGTGTGTGTGTGTGTGTGTGTGGGGGAGAGATAGAGAGAGAGAGAGAGAGAGAGAGAGAGAGAGAGAGGGGGAGGGAGAGAGGGAGAGAGAGAGAGAGAGAAACTGGAGATTGAACCTAGGACCTTGTGTTGCATGATGTTAGGCAAGTGCTCTACCACTGAGTTATAGTCACAGCCCTTTTCTAATGAACTATTATTTAAAAATGTGTATTTCCTCCAAAATCATGAATGAATCATCGGAACCTATTATTTCCTGAGAGTGTTGTGTGTGTGTGTGTGTGTGTGTGTGTGTGTGTGTGTGTGTGTGTGTGTGTGTGTTGCTTTAAACACTTATGTATGATATATTGGTAATTTATTTTTATTCTATATATTTATTTTTCATTTATTTTCTACACTCCGAGTACATGTTAGATGGTCTGAGTGTCACTGGTTACATGGCACTGTTTGGAATTTCCACTGTTGTGACAGGGTTGTTTCATGGTGCCAAGAGGAATGAGCATTAGACCTTTCATGTTTATGTGGGCAACCTGAACTTTTCTCTCTACAGTTCGAGGCTTCTCTTCTGAAGAATCTTTTGAGAAATACATTAAGTATGAAAACAAGTCTGCATATGTGCTGGCTGCTATTGTATTTGATCACGTGTTCAAAACCAACAATGAACGCTTGCCACTTCAGGTGAGAAAATTTTATCTAAAGACCTGATCCATTATGTTTTTAGTTTTGAGAGTTTTTAAGTGTGTGTGTGTGTGTGTGTGTGTGTGTGTGTGTGCTTGCACATGTGCACTCATGCCACATATGCACGCATGCCTATGTGTGTCTGTCTGTCTGTCTGTGTCTATATGCATGTGTATGTCTCTGTGCATACATGCATATATATATACATATATATATATATATGTATATATATATTTGTGTGAGTACTGGTGCACAAGTGTAGATGTCAGAGGACATTGTTGATGCTGCTCCTTGCCTTCCACCTTGTTTGAGACAGGGTCTTTTGTTCACCAATATGCATATACACCAAGCTAACTGGCCTATGAGAGAATCTGCTTCCATCTCACTATAGGATCACTAGGATTACATGTGTGGGTACATCTGGCTTTATGTGGGTTCTGGTTGATTAATACAGGACATCAGTCTTGTATAGCACTCTCCCAATATTCCCTTTTAATTCTTCACTGATTATTGTTATTGAGGGATGTATTGTTTAATTTTTAAGTTCTAAAATTCTTTCTCCTATTGATTTCTAGCTTCCATGCTATAGTGACCAGAAACAGTGCCCTGTATGGTTTTAATCTTCAGATTTACTAAGACTTGCCTCCTGGTTCAATGTCCTTCAGAGTGTTTCACATGTACTTGCTTGTGAGGAGTAGGAGTTGTTGCTATAAGATGTCTATCCTGTTCAATGTGTTGTTGAAGTCTAGAGTTTGCTTACTAATTTTCTGACTAAATGATCAGTCCATTGTTGAAAGTGGGGTTATTGAAGCCCTCAATCACAATTGTGATACAGTTTATGACTTTCCTTGAGTGCACCCATGTGCATATCCTCTGATATTGCCTGTATAAATATTTACAAATATTTTATTCTCTCAACACATCAATCCATTTATACTTATCCAATGTCTGTGTCTTTTTTACAGTCTTTGAGGCGGGGCCTCACTATACACCTGAGAATGGCCTTGAACTTCTGATCCTCCTGCCTCTACTTCCCAAGTATAGGGGCCACAGGTATGCATCACTATGCACTATGTATGCTCTTTTTTTACAACTTTTTACTTGGGTATATCTAAATCTAAGTATGCTCTTCTCTGGTAAACGTTTGTCTACAGTGTCTTTTTGTCATCCCTTCACTTTTATTTCTGTGTTCTTAAAAGTTAGGGGACTCTTAGAGGCAACATAATTTGGGTCTTGAACATATATATCTATATATATATATATGTATGTATATTCACATACTCTGTTTCAGTTCTACCATCTTGCTAATGACATTCTAGTAGATTCGTGTGTGTGTGTGTGTGTGTGTGTGTGTGTGTGTGTGTGATGTAGCTGTTTATATGTACATGCTCATGTGTGTGAAAGTACATGCATGTGTGCATGTGGAGTCGACAGGCTAACATTGGCTGTCTTCCTCAATTGCTTCTGTACCTCAAATTTTGAGGCAGGGTCTCTCACTGAACCCAGAACTTGCTAATTCAGCTAGACTGGGTTGTGAGCCATAGGGATATTCTTGTCTCAATATTCCCAGTACTGTGATCACAGGGACATGCCACCACGTCTGGCATTTTATATAGATTTTGGAGATATGAACTCATGTCCTCATGCTTGTGAACTTTCCATACTGAACCATCTCCCCAGCCCCTCTAGTAGATTTTAAAAAGTATTTTATATTTATTTAATCCATTTTATATGTATGAATGTTTTGCCTGCACATGTATAGATGCACAGCATGTGTACCTGTTGCCCTGAAAGGTCAGAAGAGGGCATCAGATACCTGGAATTAGAGTTATGAATGGTTATGAGCTGCCCTGTGGGTACTGAGAAGTGAATCCAGGTCCTCTACAAAAGCAACACATTTTCTTAACCTCTGAGCCATCTTCCTAAGCTCTCTAGTAGTTAATTTTTATGCTCATTCAATAGGCAGAACAAAGGTGGGATTAGAAAAGTACAGTTACATTGATTACCATTATACACCTTTTTACATCTTTGTAACTCAAAAGCAAAATGTCAGGAAGATGAAAGAGAGAGGATCTATGGAATTTAGATCACTTTACATTTCAACAGTGGTTATAGCTTAGGTGGCATATTACTTGTTCCTGTAATAATGATTCTGTCATTGTTTTGTTTCCAAAACAAATATGTTTAATTAGAAAATGAAACTTTCCTATCACTGTTAATTTTTGCTTTTCAAGGCTAATTGGTTTAACATGTTTGTCTTTGACTCTCATTCTAGGTAAAATATAATTTGCGCTTTGGTCGTCTCTATGATATTTATAATCCCTTAAAGCCATACAAGGGCCAGGACAGAAAGGACTGGAACACATCTGTTCTCTTCCCATCTATGCCTTCTCTAGGACCCCGGAACATTATGGAAAACGATGGGGGACACCCTGGTTAGCAAATCCTTAAGTGCACTTACATTATTATTTTTACTGTGTATGGCAGTCATTAGGCAAGGGCTTCTTTTTTTCCCTCTGCATAAGCAAGTTGATTTATTCATTCATTATGATTCATTGTGGTTTAAATTTTATTTTTATTAACATAAATTTTGATAAATCAGAAATCTGTTACAATTTTCTTTATTTCTTGAATTAATTTTCTTGTATCTGTGCATTTATATAGTTTTAGTTGGTAACTTTGGCCTCTCTTGACTCAATATATATGTAAAAAGGTATATATAGACATCTCTATATATGTATATGTAGACACATATGTCTCTTCACAAATCTGAATACACATGTATATATGTGTATGGAATATATATGTATATTCCATAAATATATGTCTTGTATGTTTATGTTGATGAATAGCTTTTTTTAATCAGATCATGATGATAAATTTAAATTAATTTTTAGTGATATAAATTACCTTGAAGGATGAGAAAAGTACTAGCATTAGAAGGTGTGTGTTAAATATCAGGTCCTGAGAATGATGGAAATTATTCAACAGGAAACAAAAACTATGTGTGATTTTACTATTATTACAAGTAAAAAATTAAAGAGTGAAAGTCATCTCAACAAGAACATTGTTCAGAATATATCAGCCTGAGCTGGGGAGATGGCTCGGTGGGTAAAGTTGTGGTTTTGGTGCACAGGTATGAAGCTCCAAGTCCAATCCCATCACCTATGGAAAAGTTGGCATGGGTGTGCCTGTGACCCCAGTGCTGGATATGTGGAGACAGGGATGCCATTGAGGCTCGCTGGTGAGCAGTCCTAGCCAAAGGCAGGAGGTGCAGATTGACTGAGAGATCCTTTCTTAAATAAGTGAGGCAGAGAAGGGTGGAGGGGGTTCCTGGTAAAATCAGCCTCTGACTTCTGCAAAACTCATGCATGGACGCATGCACTTGTGCACACACGCACATACATCGCCTTATCCACCCCCACCCTCTCCCTGAAAATAACGTAATCAGCTTGACAAGTTGATGCAGCTATTAAAACAATCACAAACTCTGGCAAATATTGATCTGTGCATATAGAATTAAAACTGTAGAAAATATATGTAGATCTCTACAAAAATTTAAGCAGTTGTCACTTTAGAGTTGAAAGATTGTGTGGTATCTTATTTTATCAAAAACACTTAAAATGTTTTTCTAAGTATAAGTTTAAAATGAGGCCAGTCTCTTGTAAAATTAATATACTGCATCCTAAAGATATTCTTTGGGAAGAAGAACATAATAGAAAATGGTATGATATTAGTGAATTAAAAACAGTTTCACCAAAAATGTAGACATGATCTAATAAAAATAGTTAAATGGGCCATTTATCATAATTATTATTGGCTTATTTGGGTAGCATCTGACTATGTATCCCAGGCTGGCCTTAAGCATAAGATGTCCTCAAATTTGGGTGATCTTCTTGCCTGGTCCTCCCAAGTGCTAGGATTACAGATATGTGCTACCACCCCATATTGAAAATGTACTTTTGAAAAGAGTTTCTTTTTTCCTCTTAAAAATAAAAGCTTTTAATACAAGAAAAAAAAACCCAGACAAATTGTAAATGCAAATGGACATGTAAAGTAAGTTAACATTTTTAATTGCTATGAAATTTGAAATTGCTTTTGTAAGTGGCCACTGAGTCAGTTGGCCTGATTGTTTGTTTTTGTTTAGATTCTATTATATATGTTAAACACTTTGGGCCATGTTTTTAACCTGACAAAGATTAAGAGAAGCATCATAAGCTCAATATCAGCACCAAAGTTCTATTATACCAGTTATTAACCTGTTTTGTGTTCATGACTGCCTGAGCCTGGGTGCTATTTACCTGGCTTACAAGACTGCTGGTTGTTTAAGCAGCATGGCCACAGCATTCCTTCCTGTTTCCTCTTCTCCCAGCTGCACAGCAACATAGTGGAGAAGCAGAAAGGGACTGTTTAAATGCTGAAGAGGCATGCAGATGACCAAGGGGCAAAAGAGCAGTGAGGAGCCAGGCTTACTCGTTTTATAATTGAAGCTTACAGGAATTAATCCACACCCACAAGACCTGTCCACTCCATGAAATCAACACTAACCTGTCCCAATGTCAGTCATGACCCAGTCATCTTCCACATGGCTCCCACCTCCGCATGACCACACTGGGCCCCAGTTTTTTTTAGCAGATGAAGCTCGTGAGGCAGCAGACCATATCCAAACAGCAGCTGCCATTTAGAGAGACTGAGAATGGTAATGTATCAGAGGAGTAGAGCAGAACTGACTACATGAAGTTTTTGTTGTGTTTTTAGTTACTGGCAAGCCTAGAACTTGCTGTGTAGACCCAACTAGCCTTCAACTCACAGAGATCCACTTGCTTCAGCTTCCCAAGTGCTGAGATTAAAGGTGTGTATCACCATATCCAGTCTTGCTCCATGAATTTTACAGGGGAATGTCAAGCATGATGTTTAACTTTAATGATGTTTTAAAAGCACACTACAGTGATGTTAACTATGGATATGTTATTGTCTGTCTCTACACATAGTCTGTGATACACACTTTGGTTACAATATCTTTATAGTAATTTCTAAAATCGATGCATGTAAAGACTCCAGCTTTGGTCTTCTTTCTGTAGATTGTTTTGGTTATTTGTTGTGTCATTGAATTTGTAGGTCTCTTTAGGCAAGACCTTTAAATAGTATTCATTTTCCAAAACCCCCAAATAGGAGGCATGCTTTCACTTACATGCATTGCCTGTATCTTCCCAGTGTTTGTTAGTACTGGATATATAAGTTCTTCATCTCATTGGATGTTTATTTGTGTTGGCTTTACTTTTTTGATGTTATTGTAAATGGAATTTACTTCTTGCTTAGTGCTTCCTTTCTATGTCATATCTCAGTGTGTAGAACTATCTTAGTCAATTTCAAGGTAGCATAGCAAAATGTTGTGATGCTTATAATAGAAAGCTGTTTCTCACAATTTTGGAAGCTAGGAAGTCTAAGTTCCCAGCACCTACAGACTAGATCTCTAGTGAGGGCTCGCTGTGTGCTTCCCAAGTGGTAGCTTTTTGCTCCATTCCTTGGAGAGGAGACTGGTTGTTTTGTCACATAGTAGAGGAAGTAGAGGCAAAAAGGATTAGGCTACTCCCTTCCCTATTAAGAGCATTCCATACACATGAGGGTGGAATACTTATGACTCAGTCACTTCTGACAGGCCTTACTTCTTAAAAATATACCAAATATTAGATGTCAGCATAGGAATTTTTGGAAGGACACATGTAACAGGAACAAAAAAGACCCAGAGACTGATATTGGGGTTCAAGCTTCAAGCTGAAGACCAGAGAAGCAAAGCAGCTGGCCACTAGTTTTTGCTTCTACCTCAGACCGAAATGGCGATCCTAGCTCCACCAAACCTCAGACTGCAGTCCCAGACTGCTCCTCTCCTCAAAATGGCTGCAGACTCAAATCTCAGAATGCCATCCTATGCTCAGTGTGTCTGAAGAATGAATGCCAGCTCTGAGACCCTGTCCCTGTCTTAAATACCTATTATGAATTCTTAAATGTGTGTGCCACTTCTGCCTGGCTATATGGCTTGCTAGTATGGCTTCTGGGATTAAAGGTGTGTATCATCTTTGTCTGACTTCTATGGCTTGTGGCTGGTTTTGCTTTCTCAATCCTTAGGCAAGTTTTAATAAATCATAAATAATATATCACCATAGACACAGACATAGAAACAAGAGTTTTGTTTAATATTTTAAAATTATCATTTAGTTTGGCTGATAAAGATACTACATAAGGCTATGGTATTATTTTCATGCAATATTTTAATTTGAGAACAGCAGTAAGATTTCATGGTATTCATTATATGTGTCTCAAATCACAATGGGTATTTGTGAAATTGTTATGTTAAAAGTTTTGCATTATCTGAATTCCTACTGTCATCTGCCTGGCCATATTTTAGTATCCTGAACTTGACAGTCTTTTTGTTTGTTTGTTTGTTTGTTCATTTAGGATACATCAGAGAAGGATTTCTTATAGTGCAGCATTCTTTAGATAAGGCCATCATGGTGTATCATAGTGGCAGAGCAGCTGAAGACATGTTTGCGAATGCCACCTTTTATGCGAGGAGATTCCCATACCCTGCTTTCACTCTCGACAATTTCTTGTGGACTTTCATGCCTATGTTTGCTTGGACAATTTTATTTACATTTACCCAAATGACACTTGTCGTTGTTGGGACCATTATGATGGAAAAGGAAAAGAGATTAAAGGTATTTCATTTTCTTTGTAATATTATGACACATTAGAACAGATATGTGCAGAGGGCTGGGTGATTTATGCACGCTTGTCACTGCTAATGAATATCCTTTGTAAATAGCATGGACTGGCTGGAGTGTTCATGATGCCATTGATAAATTTTCAGCTTTTGATTTTTAAAAAATTCTTGATTTGACTAAATGAAAGATAATATTATGGAAAGAAGTCAAATATTAATGCCCCCAAATTGTCTATGGAATGAAATGAGCAACAATGAAATAACTGGACAAGGTCTTGAATTAGATAACTTAAAATATGCTTTAATTGCTACATCCTGTGATTGTCTTTGAGGTGTTTTTCAGTATGAAATAAATCCAGACTGTGTTTTCAACAGCTGCAACTACAAAGTCCAAAGCGTTAAAGCACCTATCTGTCCATTAATTTGTTGAATGTTTGTTTACTAATCACCTTCTTTGTTCCAAGGACTCTGATGGCCTTCATGTTTAAAGCCTGGCTTTATCACTGACTAACTCTGTGATCATCCTCTGTTCCTCTACATGTAAATTAAAGACTATAACAGTTGCTTTTGTAGTTATTGGGGTAGTTAAATGATGTTATTTTTAAAGTATCCAGAATGTCTATATTTATCCTACAACTGGTAGTTTAAAAAAGAGGAGACAGACTTTCTGCTTACACATTGTTCAAAGTCTCATTACAGTGTAAGTTAGCATGTGACATGTCAATCATCCAAGTGGCTGTTTACCAGCTGGACATTAGAGAGAAAGAAGGTTAGTGTCTAGGATATGTAAAGAACTCAAAATTTAAATCAATAAAACAGCCTGATTAAAAAAAAAACACAGAGCAGGGAACTAAACAGAATTCCCAAAAGATGAAATGCAGATGATTGAAAAACATTTTTTTAAATGTTCAATATCCTGAACTATCAGGAAAATTCAGTTAGAACTACTTTGAGAATTCTTCTTATCCCAGTTAGAATGGATAAGATAAAAAAAAAAACTGATGAGAACAAATTCTGCCATGGTTATGGGGAAAGGAGAACTCTTACTCATTACTGGTGGGGATGCAAACTGGTGCCACCATCACAAAAATCAGTGTGGAGATTCCTCAAAATTTGGATCTACCACAAGAGCTCACTGTACCACCCAAAGACTTATATCCAACCACAGAGATACTGGCTTATCCATGTTCATTGCTGCTTCATTCACAATAATTCTTGAAGTACAGAGAGATCGTTTTGCTTGTTGAGCAGTGGAGAATAATGTTTCAATAGGTAGATACTACCAGAGGAAGGGGTTTGAAACCAGCCTAGTAGTGTGCTTATCACTATTGCCTGTAGAAAGAGCAACTGTGGAGAGAGGTGTGGAGGACCAGCTGACTTGAAAGGATAGCAAAAGAGAATAAGTACTGTAGGGTTTGTATGCATCACCATTGCACAGTATTTTCTGTTTTTTTAATCACTTAAAAATGCAAAAACCATTCTTAGGTCTCAGGATACACAGAAATGACATATGAGATGTATTGGTTCATGGGTCATTATCTGCTGATAAATCTTGGCCATTAAGGCAAGATTAAAGATGAGAAGGTAATATTCCAACAGCCCATGGAAAAAGCAGGGAAGACTGTGCTAAGTTGCATTAGTGTATATATGCAAACAGAGAGTGATGCATGGAGCTCTTTTTAGGAAGTAGAAACCAGTGGAAATGTACATGTACATGATTGACTTCCAATTTTTGAAATTTATCTTTCAAGGATTTTCCCACTCATCAGGTTGTTGTTAAGGCATTTGGAGCTGCTTGTCAAATGATGTCCAGGTTGAGTAAATCCATTAGTTCCTGATTAAACAGTGACACTTGGGTTTAATAAAGACACATTTCAATAGGGAACACAATCATTCTCTCTTCTCTGGCTAAGGGAGTGAAATTATGATGCCCCAAATAATCCATGCTTGGAACCTCAGTCTTATCAGTGTGGCATAATACATAATATATATTCTCACCATTTCCTGCTGCTGTAATGTTAGAAAAGTTTCACTCTCTTTGTGCCTCATTTTAAAAATAAAGACAATGCTATTCTACCATGAACATGATTAGAGACACTGTACATCAGTGCACAGGGTGTACTGAGCACATCAGTCTTGGTTATTTTTCTATTTTCTTTGTCCCTGTTACATATGGGAATTATATAAACCCTTTATCTTCTCATCCCCTCATGGCTCCTCTGCCTTTTGCATTTGGGATAATGCCATCTCCTAGTTGTTCAGGCTTTTGTTAATTTTTCACCATCTGGCTATGCCAGCAGACTCTCTTTGGTTTTGCCAACTCCTGTATCTCCCTAATGTTATTTCGTATGAAATTCTGGGATTGTAGGCATGTGTCATCACACTCAGCTATTACTTTATAGCTTTTTGATAGGTGAGATGACAGTAGAATTTATTCTAAAGCTTTGGTTCTCAGTTTGGGGCAATTTTGCTCCATTGGTCAACTTGGCAATGTCTGGAGGGAATTTTCACAACTAAGACAGATATTACTTCCACCGGGTTGGTAGAAGCCATGGATGCTGTTGAATGTCCCACAGTGCCCAACATAGTGTCCTGTAATGCAAAACTGTCAACATCAAAGTTGGAAACTTTGATATGCATGAAGACACAGGACAAATGATGGGCCGGGCCCAGCCCATTGTGAGCAGTGCCACTCTGAGCAGGTGGTCCTGAGTTGTATAAGAAAGTGGGATTGGAGGCAGAGGCAGAGGCAGGCAGATCTCTGGTCTCCAGAGCGTGTGCCAGGATAGGCTCCAAAGCTATACAGAGAAACTCTGTCTCAAAAAACCCCCCAAAAAAAGAAAGAAAAAGAGAGAAAGAAAGAAAGGAAGAAAGGTGAGTAAGCCAGTAAACAGTGTTCCTTCATGGACTCAGTTTCAGCTTCTTCCTCAAATTCTTTCTCTGACTTCCCTCAGTAATCAAAGTATAACCTGAGAGTTGTAAGCTAAAATAAACCCTTTTCTTCCCTAAGTTGTTTTTGGTTGTGTTATTTTATCATAACACTAGAAACCCTACCTCAACCAAGCAGTCAGTGTTCTCAACAACTGGACCAACTCTCTAGGCCCCTGGATTTCTAATTTATAAATCCAGAAGAGGTTGGTGGAGATACATTGTAGGATGAAAGCAGCTCTAGACACCGTTAAAATGAATAAATGTGGCTTTGTGCCCATAAAACTTTATTTATAAAAATGTAAGGTGGTAAATCAATTTATGGGTCATAATTTGCCTAGCCCTGCTCAAACCTACAATGGAATTGAAATGTATTTACTTTTTGGGTTTATTACTTCCTGGAAGCAGGGTATAATGAAAAGAAGAGTAATCTCAGCTTTGCTTATCTGTTTTTCAAGGCCGGCTTCTTTGTGTAGCCCTGACTGTCCTGGAACTCACTCTAGACAAGGTTGGCCTCACACTCATAGATACACCTGCCTCTGCCTCCCAAATCAAAGATGTGTGCCACTATGCCCAGTTTAATCTTATCTTTTTAATTTTTAGTCTTTAAAGGTGTTTCTTAGAACCAGAACTTGCTAACTCTTAGGAGGAAAAAAATTAATTCTACACCAGAATTCAGAGTAGAAATTACACCACTCATTAGGTACAAAGCTTCAAGTAGGTCATCTGACTATTTCAAGGCATGGTTTATTTGTCTGTAAATAGGGATGTGATATTCAAGCTGTATAGGGTAAGATGTATAAAGTGAAATGTGTTTTTAATGACACTTGGCTTATGTTGATTTTCCTTCAGGAATACCAGCTTGTGGTAGGACTCAGTAATGCTATGCTCTGGGTTTCCTATTTCATCACCTTCTTAGTGATGTATTTCATTATCATCTGTTTGCTGTGTGGGATTTTATTTCTCAAGGCAAGTATCCATTTGCATGCAGCATACTGCAGCTTTAAGGGGGGTGAGAAGTTGAGATGTGGGTAAAGTATGTTAGCTTTCCGAAGAGGAAATGTGTCTTGCACTGACTCCACTGTAGAAGTTCAAAAGGCATAGTTGATCAGAAGGTGAAAAAGAGACCTAGGTGAATGGCCCTTCTGTAGGCAGGCAATCACTTCACTGTCTCAGTATTTACCTTCACTTTCATGCCTTTTTCCCTCATACTTCACATGTGATTAAACTAGTTTCCTAATATTTCATCAGATTACACATGAGAGAGTCTTTCAACACAGTGATCCATTATTCATTGCCTTCTATCTCCTGTGTTTTGCTGTCTCCTCGGTGTTACTTGGCTTCATGATCAGCACACTCTTTGATAAAGGTGAGACAAAGGCGGTCTCCGTGAAACATCCTGTGAGTTGACTGAGAGGGAATCTTGTGTGGAAGCTCCCTCAGTTTCAGACACCACTGAATCAGTTTCAGGAAAAGCTCTTCTCATACTATTCATTTAAGTAAAAGTCTTTATGGGGCCCCTTCTTGCACTAGGCACAGTGCAAGATGCCAGTGATATGGGGGTGGGCAAAAGAGTCCTCCCCTTTGGAGAGCTTTGTTTCCAGATGCTGTAGCTTGTGTCAACTGACTGTCTTTTCCTTCTTTTCCAGCTTCTCTGGCCACTTCTATTGCAGGTTTCCTCCACTTTCTCACGTTTTTCCCTTACCTAATCGTAGTTTCGATGTACAGTCAGATAAGTTTCGGTGGGAAACTGGCTCTCAGTCTCATCACAAACACAGCGCTAGCTTTTGGGGCTGACTTAATATGCAAGATGGAAATGAAAGGTGAATCTTCCGTTTGTGACAACACCTTCATTAATTTGCAACCCAGAAGGAAAGGACAGAACATACAAGGTTGGGGAAGAGCATGGGCAAAGGGTGTTCGAGCGTTCCCACATATGGGCTTTATCACAAAACATTGTGTGTATGTGTGATATGTAGATACTGGGGACACATATTTACATGTACATGAGAACTAAAAATTATATAAGTGCTATTACAAGGAATATATTAGGTACTTATGTTTGCATGCATATGTATGCACATGTCTTACCTATGTCTCTACTAAGGGATAATTTTGTCACCCCAGACAACTGAAACCTGTCACACAGAAAGGTGTCAGTGTTTTCCCACTGACATGATTTTAGCTTTTCAGTAGATGAATTATCCAGCTGAGAAAAATTCGAGTAGAGTTACAATGTATAAAATAATATGCATGAGTTTAGCTTTATTTAGAATGATGGTAAGCAGCATTGTGTTTTCATTCCTTGTTATTGTCAGTGCAATTGGCTTTTGTGTTTTAATCTTGCATCCTATAACTGGAGAAGTTTCTGTTATTCTTTTTGTGGTACATTTTGATTAGTTTGGTATATTAGCATAATACTGACCATATACATTAACACAGGGATTATTTCATTCTTTATCTGTTTTCTTTTTTGCAAGAGTCTGGGAAAGACTGGTATTAATTATCCTTTAAATATTTGGTAAGATACACAATGAAAACATACAGTCTTAGGTGTTTCTTTGTTAAACTTTTTGTTGTTCTTGCTCTTTACAGATACAACCTATATTAGTTAGGCTTCGACTGCTGTGATAAAACACCATGATCAAGACAGCTTACAAGAGAAATCATTTAATTGAGTTTAACGTTTCGGAGGGTTAGGGTCTATGATGGCAGAGCAAAGGCATGATGGTAGGAACAGCTGAGAGCTCACATCCTAAAACTTCGAGCAGAAGGCAGAGAGCACACTGAGGATGATGGGAGGCCTTGGAAGCCTCAAAGCCCACTCCTGTGATACACCTCCTCCAGCAAGGCCACATGCCCTCTTTCCAATCAATTCCACCGAATGGGGACCAAACATTCAAACGTATGAGCCCCTGGGGCCATTCTTATTTATACTACCATATAATCTATTTGCATATCTGTTCAACTTTTCTGTTTTTGTTTTTATTTTAATTTCTAATATATATTAATTATATAAATCAGTAGGATTGTGATATTTCTATACTTTCATGTATCATGATTTGATGGCCATTGATTTCCTATCCTATCTCAATTCTTCTTATTGCATAGTTCTTACTATCTAGTAAGTCTTTTTACAGGTCATCTTTTTTTTCAATTATTCCCACATATCACAAAATATAATACTTTCACATTTGTGTCTAGCTTATTTTACTTAACAAGACAATTTCTAGCTCCACCCAATTGACTGCAAATGAAAATTTCATTCTTCTTTATTTCTAAGTAATATTCTGTGTATGTATGCCATATGTTCTTTATTCCTTTGTCTTATGACAGACATCTAAACTTATTTCACATTTTTATATATTGTGAATAGCTTCTCAACAAACATGGGTGTGCAGGTATCAATCACATTGAGTTCATTTTGTATGCAAACCTCCGAGTGGGATTGCTGCTAGTTCTTACATATTTTCATTATCCCATTCCCCCTCGTCTTCTAGTGTTTCCTCCAAGAAACCTACTTCTACTCTAGTCAGTTTATCTCTATGTGTTACTTGGTTCTTCTCTCATGTATGTTTTAATATTCATTCTTTCTTCTGGATTTTTAAAGATTTAACCATAAAACATTTCAGAGAGGTTGTTCTGGGGTAACGTAATTTGTTTTTGCTGTTCTAAGAGCTTCCTGTACCTTAATGTTCATGTTTTAACCAACATTTGGATGCTTTGGGATATGACTCATTAGCCAGTATTGGTTCAAACTTGAAAGTCTAACCCTGTCTACTTTATTTTTTTTCCAAGTAAAGCAGTTGTAAATACTTCTTTTATTTTTCTGCTTCAAGTACAATAGTAACATATGCTGTTCTTTTTTCAGTGTTTAGGAGCCATTTATTTATTTATTTATTTA